CTATTTATTTTACTACGCTAAAAGGTCACTATTACATATAAAAACAACTAACATAAAATACAAATATGAACAACAAACAAAATAAATAATATTAATTTTTTAACAATACAAATAATTTATCAAATTTTAACAATTTTTTGTATCAAAGCTAATAAATCAATCCGGGTATAAATAAGATACAAATTTAAACACAAATATAACACAAATTAACTNGGGAACCAGCAGAATCGAAGGTTTTAAGGTCCTTCGGTTCAGTGGTCCAAGGAAGAAGAAGGGCTACATTTTATTGAAGCTGTTCGCAGTATTATACTGCGTTTTACTTAAAACGCAGTATAATACTGCAAACAGCTTCAATAAAATATAGTTGTGCCCATCATCTTAGTAAAACGCAGTATAGTACTGCGATTTACAAAAAAAAAAATCTAAGTAAAACGCAGTACTATACTGCGAATTACTTTAACGGCAAAATTTCCGTTAACGTAATTCGCAGTATAATACTGTGTTTTACTCATTTATGTAACTTTTTTTTAAAGTAGTACAAAAGTGTTTTTTGTCCAAAAAATGATTAAAAAGGCTTCGGATACTTGTTATTTTAACATGATTTTACGTGAAAATTGTGTAGCTTTTGTGCTACCTAATCCCTTCGTTAGGGTGTCAATGGATATTAGAAAATCGACTAAACCGACCAAACCGTACCGCACCGAACCGATTTTTAGATTTTTTTTAAAGAAACCGTAGGTTTTTATATAAATCTATAATTGTACCGATAATTATGGTAGGTTTTTTATTTTATAAAAATAAACCGAAAAAATACCGAACCGTACCGAATAAATTTTACATGTGAAAAATATATTCATATAGTAAGTTTAAAACTAATAAAGTATTAAATTTTTCATTGGGTCTTGGAATTATAAAAATTGTTACAAGCCAATAAGTAATTAAATTCAAAATACTAATTCCTAAAACCTATTCTGCTACTTATACTTAAACTAAGCTATTTCAAGTATCTTTATTAGCAAGACACAAAGTATTCTAACGATTTTGAGTAGCAAACTACAATGTTTGAATATGATTCCTTTTATATAATTTAGATTTATCTTTTTAAATATTTAATATAGACTTTATTCTTGAGTCCCAACTTGGTTAATATCTTTCCACTCATGTGATTTATACTTTCTTTGCTTTTACTTGGTTTCTCTTACGTTGGTGTCGAATAGTTGTGTATCTATACTCTGGCCATCTTTCATGTTTTTTAATTCATTATCCTTTAAACAGTAAAAATGTCTAGAGAATTCGCTAAGTCCTATAATAGAACGTACGTTATTGCATTCTATTTTTACTAGTAAATTTTATATGACATTTTAAAAATACCGAAAATTTACCGAACTATACCGATACCGAAGTGAAACCGACATGTATTGGGACAGTTTCGAAAAGTCTAGTTTTGATTATACATAATAAAATAACCGAAAAAATAGTATGATACAAATTTTATAAAATAACCTGCCGAACCGAACCATTAACACCCGTACCCTTCATTTGATATAACTCCCATTGATCTTTCTAGGTTTTGTGGAAATAAGTAATGTCACACGTTTGTCTACCCTACGACAGGGACTTAATACCAATCTTTACAATCATAAGCTTATCCAAAAAAATTTAGTTGCATTGAATAGTAACATCATATCTCTACTGAGTCTGATTTCCCTAGAGGATAAATATTGATACTATTTGGACAAAATAATTGGCTATACAATATCATTTCTCAAAAATTACTTTTCACATGATTCAAACCTTAAAACTTATGTGTTTCAAATTCTGGCACTTTTAAGTTATTGAGTTCTGAATTAATAATTTGTACATATTACATAATTTTTTTTAATAAAAATACAGAGTTTGCACCAAAGTTATTGGCCTCTGGAACCCGCAACTCGGCCTCTAGTACATAAATTAAGCCTTACTTGTGATTAATGAGGGATTTATAGTACATAATAAGTTGAAACTCCAACAATGTCTACTGGGAAGTGAGAAAGTGATCGATATTATTGGCCAATTATGAGAAGACAAGTAGTTTTATCCTTGCAGATATCTTTATGTTGTTCAAACTGCAATTATATTATATTATGAAGTATAACTTCTCCCAGCATATACTATCAAAGATACCTGGTAGGTCAGTAAAATGAAAACGACTCAATCCCATTTTCTAACTACTGCCAGATATTTGATAAGGATATATATAGTATTAAAAAATGTGACAAATCATGTGTCTTTAGCTATACGGACTTTTTGAGTTGTCTTATGCAAAGTTTGCTGTATTATAAATATAAACCATACAAGGAATTAAAGTGGTTCACTCAACTCAAGGTATACCAAAAGCTCTCTCAGTATTATATAAATTACTTCTCTGAAAAGCCTTTAGGTGCAATAAGCTTAGAACAAAAATGGATGCACCCATGTATCAGGAGATGAGTTATGTTGAACATGTGCAACGCAGACGCGAGGAAAAAGGATGCATTTATGCTTGGTTCGTACTTCTTTTAACTTTTGCCACATCTTTTTTTTTTTCCTTTTCAGGATTTAGAAATCAAATACTAGTATAAAGATTATTGGTGGCAGTGGACTGTGCTTTTACTTTTGTTGCTTCTCTTTCTTACTTTGGCTAGGTTATCAATTATCTATAAAAATAAGAGTTGAAATTTTTACACCATCAAACAGCACGTCACCTTTGTCTATTATAATTAGCTCTTAAAATTATCTTGTCTAAACATTGATTTATCAACTAGAAAAGGGAAAGACTGATCATACGAGTATTGATATTAAAGTCCGTTGATGGTAATTATTTTTGAAAGAATAACAACAACAACAACAACAATAAACCCAGTGTAAATTAGGTAAAATAGTATGGGATAGCTAGTTTTCGGACTAGTCATTGAAAAATAGCTAGCGTTTGCAAAGTCATTGAAAAATAGTCACTATTTTGCTGCAACACAGAAAGTTCCAGTATAATATACCGGAGATCGGTGCACCCGTGTATAAACTTCCAGCATATTATGCTGGCTCCAGCACGCGGAAAGTTCTAGCATAATATACAGGAGATTGGAGCACCTGTGTATGAACTTCCAGCATATTATGCTGGACCGGTATATTATGCTGGAAGTCCAGTATATTATACTGAAACTCCAGTATATTATACTGAAACTCCAGTATATTATACTGAAACTCCAGTATAATAAAACTGGAACTCCAGTATAATTTTAGTATATTATGTTGGAGTATTTTCTGGATTTTGAATAGTTTTTTTTCAAATTTATCTTTATATAAAAAGTGGCTAAATTTCGATTACTTTTGAAATTGTGGCTATTTTTGAATGACCACTTGTAAATCTAGCTATTTTTGAATTTCTCCCGTAAATTAGGGGCGGCAAAAACAACCCCAAAACCATGTAACCTGCCCAACCCGCCTAAGTGTTAATGGGTTTGGGCTAGAGCAATTTTGTTGATGGGCTGATTTGGCTAGCCCAAAGTAACCCATGAAAAACCACTAGCCCAAATTAGTAAAAATAGCACGGTATAGCCAGTTTTCGGACTGGTCATTCAAAAATAGTCAGTGTTTACGAAGTCAATGAAAAATAGCCACTATTTTACTGCAACAAAGACCGATCCAGCATAATATACTGGAGTTCGATGCACCTGTGTATGAACTCCAGCATATTATGCTGGACCGATATACTTTGCTGACTCCAGTATAATATACTGGAGACTGGAGCACCGGTGCTCCAAACTCCAGTATATTATACTGGACAATTATACTTGCTGGAACTCCAGTATATTATGCTGGAGTTCTATTGTACTTATGCTGGAACTCCAGTATAATCTGCTGGAGTTCAAGCATACTTATGCTGGAACTCCAATATAATATACTGACATATTTTTCGGGTTTTGAATAGTGTTTTCGCTCAGATTTATCTTTACATGAAAAATGGCTAAATTTCGATTACTTTTAAAACTGGACTATTTTTGAACGACCAGCTATAAATCAGACTATTTTTTAATTTCTCCCGTTGACTTATGATAGTGCCCAACTATGATCCATGTGAATGCCCAAAATTCTCTCTAGAAGCTGGACATATGTAACTTTCACTGATGCTCAATCAAATAAAAATAGGAGTAATTCCTTGTCTAGGAAGGTGAATTTTAATTTATAATCTCATGATGAAATAGAATTATTTTATATGGTCAAAACATTTGTTCTTTTTATAAATCACATTTGTGGATCAATCTACTCTTTAGAATATTTAAAAATAAAATAGGAATTAGTTTAATCTTAAAGGTGAAAGAATGGATCTCATATAATTATTATTTTTGAAAATTTTCGTTTTGAGAAATCAAAATATTAATTCGACGTGATTGAATTAGTATTATTCACAAAAATTTACCTAGCAAATTAAATGATTCTCTAAAATTTTCATTTATTTTTTATCAATTACATAATTAACAAGGTCAATACTACCAGATCTAAGAAATCGAATTAGTTGTGATCTTAGTCACAGAAAGAGCTGTTGATGGTGTATTACAAAAAGAAAATTCAAAATAAAAGAGAACAAATACAAAAAAAGTAAAGATTTGTCATGACATTGGTTGTCTTACGAGAAAAAAACAAAAGGATATTACATTGTAAAAATAATGGGTTAAATTGGGCGGGTTGGGCTATAACCCATTATTTAGGCCATATTGAGCCAACCCATTTCAGCCCAAGTAACATTTGACCCCTTTATTGGTTCCGCCATTTTAAATGGAGCAGCTTATAATTTTTATCATCATTTTTCGGGTGCAGTTTGTTTGCAATGTGTTGCTGCTTCTGTTGCTACGAGACTTGTGAGTGCTGTTTGGACATGCTCTGCTGCAACTGTGCTTGATGTCCTTCCTAGCCATGTGATGTCACGTATGTTATTGTTTGCATTTCTGCTAACAAAATACAATTTGTTTCCCTCTCTTTAACTCTTTGTTTCTTCCACTTCTCTTTTGTTATCTGCCGTTGTATATTTAAAACTGTGAAGTTGAATAAACTTGTTATGTATTGAATCTTACTGGCTGTGTCAATTTGTTTCCATGATTTTCACTCTCCTCTCTAAAATATTATCATAATCAGCTATGCGTGGGAGATCAGTATAGTTATAATTTTGAAAGGAACTTAAAAAAAAATCTATATACAATATGTAAGAGGTTACTTATCTATTTTTCAAACTTGGAAATTAACAAAGAAGCAAAAATACAATTTTGAAAAGGCAAAATGCAACCCGGTGCACTAAGCTTTCGCTATGCACCGGACGCAGGCTTACCCTGCATTTCTGCAAAAGGCTATTTGTGAGAAGGGGATTCAAAAAAATGCAAAACCAAGACCTGAGAGTTAAATCTGAAATTTAGAACAATTCTTGAACCAACTTGTACACTATAAGTTTCCCTTAAGCTAAGGAGAGTCACCAATTTATACATGCGCAAAAAAGTTATTTTTTACCATATTCGCACAAGAAATACAGTTCAAATGTTGGATTCTCAAGGCGTGGAGTTAGGTCTTAGGCATGTTATCATCAAATATAATCCTTTGACACAGAAAGATTATGGTCAATGATTATTAGGCTCTATAAACGCCAAGCCAAAGAAAGCAACTCGACCAAAATTATGACATTTTTACCTTCACCTATGGCTGAATTTTCAATATTACACTTGATAATACAATTGGAGACACTCTCATGTGGAGAAAATGCTTGCAAGGGGTCTCAGTCTTTGCACAACAAAATAAAATCCAGGATCAAATTAAAGAATGTAACTCGAGTAAAATTTATTCGGACATTTTACCTTCACATGGGGCTTAATTTACAATATTACATTTGAATGTACAAGTGAAGAAACTCTCAGATGGAAATGATGCTTGTAAGGGTCCCATTCTTTTCAACAAAATCAATCAAGGATCAAAACCATCTCCATAATTGCAGTTTTACCTTAGCTACCAAGGATGGGATTTCTCCCTTCATCGATTTCAATGAGAAGAACATGCTCCGGGTCAGCGCCAGGAGGTCCTTCTGAGTAGAGTGTGGGAAGGTAAGCCTTGTATGCTGGCAAGTAGCGGGATACAAAATCCCTCACCTACGGGAAACAAAAAAGAAAAAGAAAATATTGGACAACATTCATCTGAAGCGTTAAGTGATGGATTGTCATTTAGATTTTTTGAGAAAGAATAAATATAAATTTTCACCTCCTCATCGGACATCCCAGGATTCCCATCAGCCCTCATTGCAATCTCCGCCTGAAAACATCCCACTACTCTAGTCAAATAATAGCATAAGCATAAATATGGAAGAAGGATAAAAACGTAGATGATATCGCAAAAACGAACCTGCAACCGCCACTGATAGACATAACTTGGATCATGAATCTTGATGATAATCCATGATTCGACATACTTATACCATGCATCATAATAAGCTTCTAAGTTCTTGTTGACTGTCTCAAGCTGCAATTTTCAAAATTTAATGATCCAACAAATATAGATCTAAATAGAAAGCACAAGCATCCATAGGAGAGTCAGGTAATTGAACCTGTGGATCAACAGCTTTGACTACTTCAGGTGGAAGGGGTTTGAAACCAAGCATCCAACCCTCGAACAAAATTACCTAGTATCCAAAGTACTGACAATGATGTGAGACAATCATATCATTTCCCTTGAGTTGGATCAATGAGAAAAGTTATGTATTTACAAGAATTAGGCCATGATGCCACTCTTACAGTCTTACATCATTTTAGAACTTGTACTTTTACTTCTAGGCGTAGAAATGATGGAATTGGGGTCACTCTTGAATCATTAAACATAGATGACCAGAAACTCACTAAATTGCGAGCTCTAGATAAAAAGAGCTTCCTACCGTTAAAGGCCCTTCAACCTCTGGCCATGTGGAAGGATCAGCTCTGTCACCTCTCCCATTGTACGCAGACTGGAGATAAAGTTTTAGAATTAGTAAATAATATGCAGAACCCACTTGAGATTTAAATGTTTATGATCACTCTTACTCACTTTATCATATCGAGGAAGCTTCATCTTCACACCTGGATGGAGTTGAATATTAATTCAGCATATAGATCCAATGTCTAACTGGAAAATAGCACAAACTAAAAAGGTGCATTCACCTTCTTTTGTCACTTTGCTTAGCTCTGTCAGTGTTTCAACAGACAACGAGAGATCATGGCTTCCAGCATTTCCACGGAACTGAAGTGAAAAATGAAAATTTTACATCTCAAGTTTATGAGACCAAAAGAGCTACCAGCCATTTTAAGTGAAATTCACCATTTAATACCTCCAAAAGCAAGTTCTCCGGGTTGTCCTCTCTTAGTTTGGCCTAAAACCACATAATTTGTCAGCATTAGTGATAATACACAGAACAAAATAGCAGAACACAAACTCATGAAACATTTACCTGTTCCTCTGCTGTTAAATAAAAATCATCAATGGATAGTGTAGCAGCTTTCCTGATTACACATGTTCAGCATAATTTTGGTCATTTCCGTTCCACAGAGGAAGCAAAATATCATGATGCAACTTACCTCCCTGTGATTTTAAACAGATATTCTAATGCAAATACTAGTGTTGTCTTTCCACATCCTTGAGGTGCACTGAAGCCAATCTACATGCCAAGAATATACCTTATCTTAGCGTTGTTTATGCTTAATTTTTGTAATTAGACCAGCATGATATAGACCTCAATGGAAATCAAACACACAAGAACCAAGTGAATGATAAAAATGTGTCTACCACCAAAGGAGGAATTTCTTCGTTGTCTTTGAACTTTGAACTATGCTGTGAAATTTCCTGTTCACACCACAAGAAGACTGGAATATAGTAGTGGTAGAGTCTAATTTTTTGGGGCTCGTTGAGAGCCAGCTGGTTGAGCTGAAACAATCTACAAAGGCGAAATCCATACTCTATCCACTTATCAATGGACTCAGCCACTTTTTCGGGTGTTAGACCTGTCTTATCGATGAGGGGGCCTGAGCATATAAACTCATAAAGATCGTCCACAGAAGAAATTTGTGCTCGTTCTGTTGGAGCCACAGAATTCAATGGACCTTGCTTCCTTCCATTGGGGGAAAAATTACCACAAGAAGCAGAATTATCTTGCATCCAGGAATATCCACTGCCTGCACAACCATGACCAACCATGAACGCAAATGGGCTAAAAGAACATGGTCTCACAGCATTTAACAGAAGTGACACCACTGGTCGTCAACTGACACTAGAAATAACTCATACAAATACAAGTGGTATAATATACATATTTGAAGGGTTCACTAATTTCATATTCAAAACCTGCATTTAGTCTTGCAGCCTGCAGATATATCATTTATCCTCCCCACCCCCCGGGTAGATTTTGTATTTGTCTTCTTCTTCTTTAATTAAAAATAGCACATGCAAATACTATTAACCCTCAATTTAGCATACAAATTAGGGATGTGGCTTTGAAATTAGAAGGAAAACTTCAGGATCTTACTTAATTATTTCCAGTTTCCAACTCCCACTCTTGAATTCCTACCCACCCACCTCCCTCCCAACAAAGCAGTTAATTTGTTCAACAAATTTATAGTCAACTCCATCTTAACAGCATTATTTCCAGCACTAGGACAACCCCAAATTTGGAGCCGAAAGTTAAATATAACCAAGAATTAGTTTCCAATTATAAGAATCTTGAAAATTTAGCTTACACCCACTTCAGCAAATATTTGCTAATTGCTAATTTTTAACACGTTTTTGTGGGAACCAAATTACATAGAGAAAATATAATTGAAGTTATTTCTAGCGAAGTTGAAATAAAGCGACAATCAGTAGACAAAAATTGGAAAATTTCCCAAAAATTAAAACCTGAAGAATTCGAGAGCTGAGGCAGCATTTGAGATGAAAAGACAGAAGGCTTTGATCTTGGAGCTCCAGAAAGGGGAAAAGTGGACGACCCGATTTTATAGCATTTGATATCGCCGCAATTGTAAATATTAAAATCGTAAAAATGACGACAGCGTAAAGAAAATGAGGATGATGATGTGGAGGAAGCTGGCAGCTGCCATGGCGACGGAGTCTGAGATAATATATTCAATCCCGCCATTGTCGGCCTTCTCTCTCTCACACACACAGTGAAACTGAGAGAGCAGTGTGTGAGTGTGTGTTGCAGTTTTTTCTGAGTCTAGAATTGCGGGAGGAGTCGATACTGTTAGTTAAAAACGATCGGTTAAGGTTGGCCTAGAACGTACGAACAATCTGACCTTGCTGCCATGTCGGATTCCTGAAAGTACCAAATTGCCACTCGAAATCTCCCGCCACATAGTTAAAGGTAAATACAGTTTGAAGATTTTTCTTACGCTAGCAGTGTAATGTAATGTTAAAAATTTATCAAATTATCAATTAATGATTTTCATATATATTTTTGTTTGGGTCTATGAGTCATAGACTATGGCACAAATGTCCTTGAATAATAATAGTTAAAGACTATCCCTTATGTTATTTTATGAATTATTTGTGATTACCTTATACGTTGCCTAATTAGGTACTAACTATTACCTATAGATAGCACCTTATCTTACACTTTATATTTTTTTGGCATGTGAGATAAGAATAATAATTTCAAAATATAGTTTGAAGATTAACTTTATCATGTGTTTGGTTTGGAATATTAACTAATCATCAGATAATTTTTATATTAAAACTATGGGATTAGTTATCCCACATAGAAGGTACAAAATTAATACCATAGGATATCCCACCATTATATCAAACGACCCCTTAAAGTTAAGAAAAGGGTGAAAAAAGAACAAAGAAATATACAGTATGGGTCAGAGAATACTTGATTCCTCATCTTCTTAAATTTTAGGCGAAATACATAAAACGCCCCTTTAAGTTGTTCCCAACGATCATTTGAACGTCTTAACTTGCCATATGACCAGACATGCAGTTCTATTTAATACAGGTGTGTCTCGTGAACACTCGAGTTTAACAAGCCTCATGAGTTACACTCACGAATGACAAATTATTGAATGACATGTGTACTTCTTAAATAAATTATAGTCTATATTAACAAATAGTTGTAGTTTTTAATTCAAAAAATAAGAAAAAGACCTACTTTCCCAAATCAGACTTAAATCCCCCGTCTTCTTCCCTGATCTCTCCCCACCTTTCATCATCTTCTTTCTCCCAAAAAAGTATCATATCAAATACTTTACAGTCAATTAATTAGTGGTGGAGATTTATTGTTTTTGGATTTATTTAATGACGGACGGTGATTGTGGTGGTGATGAAATTTTTTTGTGTTTTTTCCCGGAGGGTGAAGATGGAGAAGATAATTTGGGGCAATGGCAGAAGATGCATGAGAAAATTGGAGGAGGTGGTGGGTTCCACATTGATTTTAGGGGGAAAAAAAAGATAAACTTAATTTTAAAGATTTTAGATTTAAATGTAACACACAATATTTGCCATGTGGGGTTTAAGAGAATATGCTTCTACCAAGCAGAAGTATTTATTTGGTCATAGCAAGTTAAGTTGTTCAAATGATCGTTGGGACAACTTAAGGGGCGCTTTATGTATTTCGCCTAAAATTTATTTTAAATTTCGTAAAATATACTATAAAGTATAAATCATGCAAAGTACTTTTTAAAATGAAAAATCATTTCAAAAATATTTTACCCCATGAATAACAGCGTCATATATTGTGGGAAAGGAGTAGTTTATATAAGTTTACGGCATAAATTTTAGAGCTTATTTCTGAAAGGAAAAAAGTTACCAATACTTGTAGTAATTCCCAAATTTCATTTAGAAGCTGCATTGAAGGAGATGATCGACCATCCCAAATTACAAAAAATGGCAAAATTAACTCTGTTAAAAATAGCATGTACAAGAATATATTCTTGAATATACAACTGAGAAAGTTGCTACTTTTCTACTGCTAAACTTGCAATTTAAGTATATCTCTAGGGTGTCAAAATCTTTACAGCAAAAATGGGCTAAGTTACAAAAAAGCTCATCTCCCTGTCAGTTTCAGCAGTGCTCCATTTGGTTAAGTATCATATCTTCAAATTTCATGTTTGGAACAATGTCTCAAGTAGTTTTGGCGAAGACAAACACGCGACAGACTTGAACTGTTAGCAGAGGAAAAAAGAGACTTATTAGGACCATATATAATAGTAACAACTCGAAACGAATAGACCATACTAACTTTGAATAATAACACACAAAAGTACCTTATCTTGCCGGTATTTAGCACGTATGGCATTTAGAGGGCAGTTTTCTGTATTCAATTGTAAGCCTTGTAATGCAACTACTGTGGTTTTCAGATCCCGAGCCTTGTAATATGTATAGTGCTCCAATGTCGGATTCTGTTGTTGATGCAGGCATAGGTTCTACACATCAGTAGCAGGAAAAGCTAGTGAAATAGAAGTAAACTAAACAGCAAGAATTCAGGGAGCAAACCCATGGGTGGATTGACTGATCTAGTGTCCATCTCGCAAGGAATACAGATGATGCAGCAATAGCCGAAGGGAGGAATTTCAAGAAGTCATAGGCGACCAATGTCAGTTCAGCTAGATAATTAGCCAAGCACTCTAGCTCCAAACTGGGATTCTGAAACCATGTATAATTCGGACCACGGTTATATTTCAGTAACAAGAGAAAATATATTTGTTATCATTCAGGAAATCCAGTTATGCACATTAATGTAATACCTTGTAAGAAGCGTGTGCTGCTCTTAAAAATCTCCTGCAAATAGCATCATACATAAGAAAATGAAGTTCTCATTTTCACAAAGACAAATGGATCAAGAGGGCGGGCAAGTCGCTAAAGTACCTAAGAAAGGTCTTTGCAGTTGGAACTGAGAGCTGGAAACCAAGAAACTTCAGCACAAGACTCTCCATTGCCAGGACCTGATCCACTTTACATCGTCAGAAACTTCAGTTTGTTCAAGTAGTATTATAATAATTATCAGATTTTGTAAGATCGTAGAGAAGGGAAGGGGGACGGGAAAGTGTCAACATTCTTCTTTGGTACAACCATGAGTTTTCATGAAGATGTATTTTCAAGTAGCATTCGAGAAAATTAACTTCTGAAATCTACACAAGAAAATCATTGTGTTTTGACTATCATGATCCTGAATAGTCAAAACTTGAAAGAGCAGTATTCTACCTCACTTTTTGTGTAAGTATTGTCAGTGATAAAACAGCACTCCTCAACATGTAGAGGACGAATCTCTTCATATTTCCTTCAGATAAAAAGAAAAGCCACGTTCAGCCACCAGATACAATATATTGACCTTTATTCAGATATAAAAGGGAAAAGATTTTCAACTATAACATGCAAAGTGATGGCACTAAAGACTTGATATCATTTTTGTTACAGGTGAAGGTCACACTGCAAATGTGCTTACATAGGAGAATTTCTTCATAAGCACACATATCTTTGGAATAATGAGCTTGTCAGATTCTAAAATGAGTGGAGTACTAAGATCCCATATTTCTTCGGCTTGAATTTCTTTCTCTTTGAAGTATTTCAAGAAAGTGTTTTACTAAAAAGTAATATTACAAAGAACCTATAGTAGTACAAACAGTTGAACCGAGCTTACGAGGCAATTAGCATGCAAGTGATACCAAGGAGCTGCAGTTTTGGCCTTTCCACATAGTTTTGAGAGAGAAATAGATCGATGAAGTGAATGGCAAGATAGAGTGCATCTGGCACCAACTTATACTCCTCGGACACCTGACACAAGATTAGACAACGACCTCAGTAACCAGCTTTCTCGTGAATTAGCATTTCTAGATTAGCGAATAGACTTATAAGCATTATGAGATCAAAAGGAAGGGGGAGAGAGGTGGGATGCGTCCAACACAAAGTTGAAACTACACAGAGTTAACTAGCACCACAATTCACAAAAATCTTATGAATGCTTTTATCTAAGAAAAACACACATAAGATCTTTACAAGTCATTCTCAAACCAATCTAAGATGAGATCAGGAGTGGATGATGAAAAGCCAAAATGAAAATGTGATATTGCGTATCCGAGCAGATACTGTTAGGAAATTAGTTTACTTCACATTTATCTGCTCAAGACGAATCATGTACTAATAATTAGAAAATGTCAGCATATACTTTGACTATTCAATTTCTTTTTCTGAGATAAACATCAACTTACTTCCACAAGCCAGTCGACAAGGATTCCTCGCATACTTTGTGTGATATCTCGCTGCAGCGTTTCCATAAAATTTGATTGTGGCCTTTTCATTAGCTGGAGAAACACAAATCAGACTTTGTATTATAAAGTTACAATTCTCTACTGTCAACTGAAAAGACTAGGGAAAGACTTGACACCATTATCCCAAAACAAGGAAATCTCAGAAGTTATACAGGTTGAGGTTTGGATTCAGAAAATTATGCATACAGTTATTAATAATGCTGAGAAACATTCCAATAAGCAGGCAGCATACCCGGCATCACTATTCCAGAGCGAAAGCGTCCAGCATTATTTCATAAGTGAACATACATCGAACGTACTAAAGTGGTTACACCTAACACTGATATTATAATCAAAAGTTCATTGGTCTAACTCGAATTTTAAAGCAAAACAGTGAAAAAGCATCCTTGTGTCAGTTGTGCAAAGATGACCTTTGCCGAAGTGTCAGTTACTTTTTTATTCTAAAAGCTCCCAGCTGGAAAAAGGAACTATCTTGTCTGAGAAAATGCAATCTCACAACAATTTGAACAACTAAGGAAACCACGAGAAATGTGCAAGAATATCAATTCAACGAACCTCTACAACCCGGAAATTGTTATATATCTCAAGAGCATATTGGCTGCATTGTTGTGGATCCTTTTGATCAGAATCAATGTCTATTAAGTCCAACTTTGTTGACGTCAATGGTGCTGCATCATGAAGAGCTTTCTCAACTGTGCCCATTAAAAGGTTCAATTACTTTGGTACGCAAAAGGAGAAAAATTAACAGGCCAACATGGTTGCAATTACATGGAAACACAGGAAACTAGTAGATATAAATCCTTTCTCCAGAGAAAAAAGTCAAAAAAGAAAGTGTGGTGGAGAACTCCTGTTATTAGATTTAACTTAGAAACATATTCACTTAGTACTCAGGAATAAAGTACAAAGATAAGACCAAGGCTTCCTCTATGATTTATAAATGTTACTACAGAAAAATCATTTGTTATTGTCATTTCTC